CTCCCCACCACCCATTTCGGCACACCCCTCACACGTTTCGTGGCCCCATAGGGAGCTCCACCGAAGGCCCCAGTGGCTGCGTTCGCATGCCTCCCCACCACTCATTTCGGCACACCCCTCACACGTTTCGTGGCCCCATAAGGAGCTCCACCGAAGGCCCCAGTGGTTGCCTTCGCATGCCTCCCCACCACCCATTTCGGTACACCCCTCATACGTTTCGCGGCCCCATAGGGAGCTCCACCGAAGGCCCCAGTGGCAGGGTCCGCATGCCTCCCCACCACCCATTTCGGCACACCCCTCACACGTTTCGTGGCCCCATAGGGAGCTCCACCGAAGGCCCCAGTGGCTGCGTTCGCATGCCTCCCCACCACCCATTTCGGCACACCCCTCACACGTTTCGTGGCCCCATAGGGAGCTCCACCGAAGGCCCCAGTGGCTGCGTTCGCATGCCTCCCCACCACCATTTCGGCACACCCCTCACACGTTTCGTGGCCCCATAGGGAGCTCCACCGAAGGCCCCAGTGGCTGCGTTCGCATGCCTCCCCACCACCCATTTCGGCACACCCCTCACACGTTTCGTGGCCCCATAGGGAGCTCCACCGAAGGCCCCAGTGGCTGCGTTCGCATGCCTCCCCACCACCCATTTCGGCACACCCCTCACACGTTTCGTGGCCCCATAGGGAGCTCCACCGAAGGCCCCAGTGGCTGCGTTCGCATGCCTCCCCACCACCCATTTCGGCACACCCCTCACACGTTTCGTGGCCCCATAGGGAGCTCCACCGAAGGCCCCAGTGGCTGCGTTCGCATGCCTCCCCACCACCCATTTCGGCACACCCCTCACAACACTCACCGGGCCCCAGTGGCTGGCCGCATGCCTCCCCACCACCCATTTCGGGTGGCCCCATAGGGAGCTCCACCGAAGGCCCCAGTGGCTGCGTTCGCATGCCTCCCCACCACCCATTTCGGCACACCCCTCACACGTTTCGTGGCCCCATAGGGAGCTCCACGAAGGCCCCAGTGGCTCCCCACCACCCATTTCGGCACACCCCTCACACGTTTCGTGGCCCCATAGGGAGCTCCACCGAAGGCCCCAGTGACTGCGTTCGCATGCCCCCCCACCACCCATTTCGGCACACCCCTCACACGTTTCGTGGCCCCATAGGGAGCTCCACCGAAGGCCCCAGTGGCAGGGTCCGCATGCCTCCCCACCACCTGTTTCGGCACACCTTTCACACGTTTCGTGGCCCCATAGGGAGCTCCACCGAAGGCCCCAGTGGCGCGGTGCCTATGAGAAGAGGGGCCTAGTTTGCGTGCCCCTTCCTTCGTCTCATATCCTTGCGGTACTCGCAGCTGCATATGGTTGGGTCCTTCGCCAGGCTAATTTCCAGGCTTGCGCCCGCCAGGTTTAGGCCCGAAGTCGTTTTCACTAAACCACGTTTCACTAAAGGGAGGTCTGTCCATCCCCGATCTTGGAGCGCTTCAAGGCCGTCTTGGAGCCGTCTTGGGGGGCTCATTGGGCTATTTTTGGGTCCTCGTGGTCCGTTGGGGGTTCGTCTTGGAGGTCTCTTCGGCTGTCTTAGAATTATCTTCGAGGCATCTTGGAAGCCGCCGTCTTGGGCAGTCGGAAACCCGAACAGGCGAGAACCTCAAAATCTTTCAACAACTTGCGGGACGACAATGGTTTAGGTTTCCTCGGGCTCTCCAGGAAGGACTCTTGGAGACCTTTCGGGCCGTCTTGGGGGGATCTTGGGCCGTCTTGAGGCCCTCTCAGGCTATCTTGAGCCGTCTTGAAGCTCTCTTGAGAGACTCTTGAGCTGTCTTGCGCCATATTGAGGAGTTGTGTTGTCGTCTTGGCTGTCTTGGAAGCCCTTGTGGAGGCCATCTTGGCCGTCTGAAGGCCGAAGAGGCCGCCAGACAGCAATTTCAGAGGGGGGCTGTTTTCGAGGGGGGCGCGCCGGCCGGGGGGGTCCATAAAACTTGACAGAACCTCCCACCAGGCAACACGACGCATGACGGAAAGAGCGCTAGCGAGAGAAGTTTGGCACAAGCTTTAGCCCCCATGGGTGGCTGGCCGGGGCAGATGTTCTAACGCGCCATTTGGGGGCCATGCTGGCGGCTTTTTCGGCCCAGGAGGTCTCAAGACGGCCCACCCAAGGACCCCACGATGGCCCACCCAAGGACCCCACAGGACCGACGGACCCCACGAGGACCTCCAGGGACCCAGGAGGGAAAAACCATGGATTTCCTTCAGGTGTTCGAAGGATTCGGGGGTTCTCGCTTGGTGGGGCCCAGAATGGCCAAAGACGGCCCTGGAGGCCTCCGACATCGCCCCAAAGCGTCCCCAGAGGCTCCCAAGAGGGCCTCCAAACGGCCCACGAGCGCCTCAAGACGGCCCAGGAGAGCCACAAGACGGCACGAGAAGGGCCCCACAGAGCCCCAAGCGGCTCCCAGGAGAGCCCCAAGGGGGCCACAAGAGGCCCCCAAGAGGGCCCCAAGAGCACCCCAAGACGGCCCAAGAGCACCCCAAGACGGCCCAAGATGGCCCACGAGGGTTCCAAAACGGCCCACAAGACCCCCACGAGGCCCCCAAGAGGCCCTCAAGATGCCTCCAGCAGCTTCTCAAGAGGCCCCCCAAGAGGGCACAGTGACGTAACAAACATTGCAAGCCGGCCGAAGCTCCCGAGACGGTCCAAGAGGGCCCCGGCATGGCCCAAGACGGCCTCAAACCGGTCCATCAGACCCTCAAGAGGTCCTCAAGATGCTTCTACGAGCCTCTCAAGAGACCCTCATTGAGCGAACAGTGACGCAACAAAATATTGAACGCCAATGCTCCCAAGAGCGAACGGTAATATAAAAAGCTCTGATCACCAAGGCCCCCAAGTGCTCACAGCGCCACAAAAAGTTCGGAATGCCAAGACTCCCGAGAGCCATCTTGTGCTGTATCGGAGCCGCCCCGCATGACGAAACGCTCTTTCCGTTCCCGCTCACTCCGTGTAGGCACGGTCGCGGATAACCTCAGGAGGTCTTTAGTTTTGGGTCCCCCCCCCATGTCTCTCGAAGGAGAATAGGACTGGTCCTGAAACCTCCTCCTTCCTCATCCTCTCCCCCTCCTCCTCCTCTTCCTCCTCTTCCTTAGGAGTGACACGAGGAGTAGAGTTTCTTAGGATCGAGTTTCTGAGGATCGAGCTTCGTAATAGTGGTCGTCGTAGTCGCAGTCGCAATCTTAGTCGCGGCTGTCGTCGTCGTTGTTGCACAGCGGGTGCCGCAGAAACAGATAGTTAGTTACACTCTCTTGGTGGGACCCCAGTCCTTCAATGACGTCGCCGGAAAAGAATGAGGTCCCCCCTATTGGGGGGGTTGTCCAAGTGATGCGAAGCAATGCACAGCAATGCATCGCAACGCAACTCGAAGACATGCACAGCAATGCAGTGCGATTGCCTTGCATTGCAATGCGATTTCAATGCAATGCGATTGCAATCGAAGGTCGGGAACTGGGCCGTCGGGTTGGCAAACGGGCAGTTTTTTTGACGAATGGTGTGGCGACAGACGGGAACGAAGCCTCAGGGGCAGCAACAGGCCCAGTCCTTTTCTGAAGGCAGGTAAGAACCCCTGCGTTCAAACACCGTTTGGGGAATTGTTGAATTACGTTTACATGATACCTGTATACAAGTTTCTGTATTCATTGTTATGTTGAGCATCATTCATAGGCAGTTAGCGTGCCACCCCACCAGCTGCAGCCCATGCAGGAACGATGCCTAAGGGAATTGCCGTTACCGGGGGAAGCGTGGCATCATCGTGATATTGCGGGGAGCCTCAGTGAACCGGAGGCATTTGGGATGTCTCTCAGAGTCGCTTGGGGTGTCTCTTGGTAGTCTCTTTTGGAGGTCTCTCTAGGCGGTTTGGGGGCATCTTGCGGGCCTGTTGGGATCTCTTGGGCGCCTTGTAGGGTCCAGTTCGGACTCTCTTGGATGTTTTCCAGGCAGTTTTGGTGTCATTTTGGAGTCCAACGAAGAAAAAGGGGTGGCGTGAATTAACCTTGACCTCTCCAGAGGGCCCAAACTAGCCCCGCACCGAAGGAACATCAATGATGTTCGCATTTTCACTGACGCCTTGTTTGGCGCTCTAACCCATCCTGACCCTCCCCCCTCCAGCCCCGAACGGGGCGGTATTGAAGGGCTTCAGACATTTTCAGGCCTCCTTCCCCGCATGCGTGACTGCGTTCCTTCCCGTATTCATTGCGCAACCATTTAAGCGGTCCCCAGATTCCGTCGTGAATTGCAGCATTTGTTTCACTATAGGTTCCAGGAGGTACGCGTGGAAAGAAGCATTACATCGAGTTGTAGGCCAACTTTGGTACACACGCGCGCACACACTCACCTGAAGTGAGAATGGATGTACTATGACTGCATGCCACACGCACCCGTGGTTGAAATAACCCCTCCGAAGCACTCGAGAATGCACTGCAAACTTCCTCGGACACATCCTCTAGGTTCCGCTCTACAGATCCACAAACAATATCTTTTCTGTTGCCGTAAGCCATTGGGAGGGGCGGTGTGGTTCTGATTGTTTTTTTGTGATATGCGTTGAGAGGCGATGACAAGGTACCCCTCTGTTTTGAGCGTTGGTGGTTGTTCTGTGTTAAGTATGGACGCTTTGTGAATTCCCACGAGCCCATCAGGACCGATGCCAGTCATCGGAGGCAGGGGTACGCACAAAGACAAAGCAAGTTGTCATACCAATCATTGGTTCTCTCATCCTCTCCATCTGGCTACCTGTTAGGCGGGTTGGCCGCGAGGGTCTACACAAGGTGGGGGGGTCGATTGCATCCTCCTGTAGTTTGGGATGAACGGATCTTCGCAGTTCCACTCTCTGAAACATTGAATCACTTTTTTGTAGTTGCTTCTTGGGCATCGCAGGTCCTGGTCCTCTTGGGTAATCTTGGGTCAAATTCAGAGATCGGGGTCAGTGCGCAGGCTGAGCCACCTCCACGCACAGGGGAGGTTTCAGCGCTCGTGCAAGCGCCAGGGCTGCTTCTACGTGCACCCGAACGGTGGGTCGGGGGGAGGGGAGGTAGGATGAGGGTAGGGCACTTGCTTTGGGGGAGAGTGTCCGAGCACGTGGGGTTATCGATGGGACTACCTCGTGCCCCTCTCCCTCCGAGCAGGCGCGCGCGCTCGGGAAGACTGGCCCTCTGAAGCATCTGCCTCTTGTCCGATCCTGTTGTATGGTGTCCCCTCTAAGCCGTGGGGGTCGAGGTGTGACGGCGTGCGTGGTCTCCAGGGGGCCACCTGGAGAGGGAGGCTTTTAGAGAAGGGGCATGTGGCCCATCCTCGCGTGCGAGCCTCGCCACAAGATGACGGGCTGGCTTATGATTCAGACGAGTGGCAGCGGGCTGGCCCATATCGGGCTTCATCAGGACTCCGAAGTTGCCGAAGTTTTCGGGATCCTCATGTACCTCTCCCATGTTGGTATCGATCACTTCCCGTCCATGCATAATTGCGAATGGGTGGGTTCACTGTTCCGGAATGTCCGAGAGGCCGTAACAGACAGTCCGTGCACGTGTGATGTTTTGCGGCAGAGGCCGTGGGTTCGGGTGGACGAGGCGGGGACATTTCAGTCGGACATGGAAGTCAAAAAGGGCACGCGCTAGGGCGGGAAGACCACCTTTCGGACGATGCTCGTGTCCCACGCCTGGGCGACGGGCGGGTTTTGCTGACCAGGCTGCCGATGTGGGAGCGGCCATGCATCCCCAGGACCAGGCAGCTGATGGACGTGTCGCCCGCTCAGCCAGTCTTGTTCATTGCATGAGTACGTAAGTATGTTGCTCGGGCTTTGAGGGCTATATGGGCCCTCCAGCTACCCTTTGCCCTCCAGTCGCGGTGTGGCGCGCGAGGGCAGGCGGCGGAATCCCCCGTGGCCCGCGGCATGCTGCGAGCCCGAGCGGGACGAGCACGGTCTGTCCCGTAGCAGGGGCCGAATGCGATGTGCACGGTGTCTCCGGGTTCAAGGCTCATTTCAATTCCTCCGATTCCATTCGATTCGATTTCGATGGATTCCGATTCCGATTCGATTCGAGTCTGGATTCCGATTTGAAATCCGATTTATCAATCGAGGCCACAGCCGATGTCTGCCGATTCGACCATTCTCGATTCGGCTGCCGATTCCCGTCGATCCGATTCATTTCGATCGCCGATCCGACTTATCGATTCGATTCTGGGCTCACCTGCGGGTTGCTGTGGATACCGAAACCTTGAGACGCGTTCGATGCAGGTGTGTGTGTGTGTGCACGGTCTGGCCCATAGCAAGGGTCGAATGCGATGTGCACGGTGTCTCAGGCTTGTTGTGGATACCGAAACCTTGCAATCTGTTCGATATAGGCGTGTATGTTTGTGTGTGTGTGTGTTTGTGTGTGTGTGTGTGTGTCGGGCATCGCCTCTTGCAGGTGGGGCCGTTTGTCTTGTGCGTGTGTGCGGCTCGTGTTCTTGGGACAACGCCCAGGGAGCCAGGATTGTCATGGCTAGTATGTGCGTCGTCCCCCCGCAGCCGGCTGGATACTATGTGGCAACGATTGCCCAGCGGCTCGGGCCCGGGGTCCCGGCCTTTTTGGCGCCCTCGTCCTAGACGCAAACCTCTGGAACCTCAATGTCTTGCCAGACTTACAGCAGTCCCTTTCATGCCGAGTCGCGCTTTGCGCGTAGATACCCAATTGCAATTTGGTATGTTTTGTCCGTTGTGGAGGCGCGCCCGGTTGCGCTCATTGCGATGCCTGCCTCTCCCAGGGGATGATGTGGGTTGCTCGACCACGCGTGGAGAGCACCCCACATCTCCTCCCGGGCAAGAGCAACGACCTTCTGCCCCCATCTCTCTCGTCGGGAGGCCGCGAGATAGACGAGAGCCCGTCGCTCGGTGTGTGCAGGCAGGGCAAGGACTAGCGCCTTGCGGCGCAATATGGTGGGGGGGCAAGGAGGAGCGTCGGCAGTCACGGGACATCCTCGAGCCTTCCTCGTCCTTCTTTTTCTCGTCTTGTTGTGTCTGCCCCCCTCCCCTCTCCTCGCCGTTATGTCCCAACCCTCATGCGTTGGGCTCTCGTTTTGAATGGAGCACTGCGGTCGCATCCTTCCACATTTCTCCCTCCTTGTCTCTTCTCTTCTCTTCTCCTCTCTTCCCTCGTCCTCTCCTCCCTTGTCGTTTCTCTTGCTTGCCCTCGCCATCCGTGGGGAGCTGCGCTCCGTGAAATTGTCGCCACTTTCGAGGGCTGCTGGGAGGTCCAGCGAAGTGACGCGCTGAGCAGGTTCAGGTTAGACCTCGCCTTTCCTCGGGGGCTGCGATCTGCGAAGCTGTCGCCACTTTCGAGTGGTGCTGTGAGGTCCAGCGGAGTGACGCGCTACGCAAATTCAGAGTAGACCTCGCCATCACTGGTGGGCTGCGCTCTGCGAAGGTGTCGCAACTTTCGAGAGCTGCTGTGAGGTCCAGCGGAGTGCCGCGCTACGCATATCGAGATTAGACCTCGCCATCCTTGAGGGCTGCGCTCTGTGAAACTGTCGCCATTTTCGATGGCTGCGGGGAGGTCCAGCGCAGTGACGCACTACGCAGATTCAGACTAGACCTCGCCATCTCTGGGTGGTTTCGATATTTGAAACTGTCTCCACTTTCGATGGCTGCTGGTGGGTCCAGCGGAGTGCAGGGCTACGCAGATTCAGATTAGACCCCGCCTTCCCAGGGGGGGCTGCGATCTGCGAAACTGTCGCCACATTCGAGGGCTGCGTGGAAGTCCAGCGCAGTGCCGCGCTACGCAGATTCAGGTCAGACCTCACCATCCGTGGGGGCCGCGATCTGCGAAACCGTCGCCACGTTCGAGTGGTGCTGGGAGGTCTAGTGGAGTGACGCTCGACGCAGATTCAGTTTGGACATCTCTTTCTTTTGGGGGCTGCGATCTGCGAAACTGTCGCCACTTTCGAGTGTTGCTGGGAGTTCCAGCGGAGTGACGCCCTACGCAGACCTAAATGAGACCTCGCCATCCACGGAGGGCTGCGGTCTCCGAAATTGTTGCCACTTTCGCAGTGTTTCTGGGGTGTCCCGGTGTTCCGCAGAGTGACGCCCTACGAAGACTCAGATGAGACCTAACAATCCCTGAGGGGGGCTGCGATCTGCAACACGTTCGACACTTTCGAGGGCCTCTGGGGGATCCTGCGGAGTGGCCTCCTGATTACGCAGACGGGGGCCCATTCCGCGTCGGACACGTGTGATACTGCAGCTGACGACCTGTCTTCAGTGGCAGCATTCCAGCTTTCTCGATCGAGGAACTTGGTTTGGCTCTCCGACAGATGGCCGCCGGGAAGTCGGACAACAGGCACGGGGTGGTATTGGAGATGCTCAAGAACAGCAGCCGCGCCACGAAGGACATCTTCCTTGCCATCTTCAACCGCATCCTGAGCTCTGGGGAACCCCTCTTCATCATGTTACCCAAGACGGGGAAACCCATCGACCCCTAACAATGGGAGACCGATTGCAGTGTTAGACGTGTCGTATCATTTTTGTGCGAAGATGTTGCGAAACCGTCTGGGCCCGTCGCTGGAGAGCGAGCAGAAAAAGGGCACAGCGGACGCGCTGCTCCTTCTTGAGTCAATAATCAGCAAACCTTTCGAGTGGAACGTCCCATTTAGGAGAAAACTGCATTGATTTGAAGAAGGCGTGCGACAAGGTCGAGTACAGTACCTTTCTCACGGCGCTCGAGGAGCAGGGCATCGAACACAAGTGCAGAATCCTCCTGCAGCGCCTGTACGCGCAGCAGACAGGCAGAGATGGAGACGATCTGTTTCCGATTCGAAGAGTCCGGCAAGGGGACGTGCTGAACCCCATGTTTTTCGATTCCGCTATCGAGTCTGTGATGAGGCGATGGAAAGTCAGGCTCGGGCAGCACGGCGTGCTTCTGGACACTGACCGTGGGCGCCTGGCAATACTGCGATATGTTATCGAGTTTCTGACGTTCGGGAAGTCCCTGGCAGAATCTGTGGAGATGGTGGAGATCTTGACACATGAATTCTAGACGCTTCGCGTATCCCCACCAGTCCGTAGCCCCTCTGGCTCAAGTACGAAACCGTCGCCCTGCGGCTTCGTGCTTGTTTGCTGCCGAGGGGCTGGCCCGAGGCGTGCGCGCCTGCAGCAGGCTTTCTTTCTTCTCGCACGATCCCCACGGTGAGCCCTGCCGCGGCCGTGGGTCTCTGTGTCGCAAGCCCCGCTTTGATGTCGCCGTCGGCGCGCACGGCTTGCCGGCGGCAGCAGCGGCGGGCGGCGGCCGCACGCCGAGCTGGCACCGCCGGCGCGGCTGCCGTGGCCGCCGCGGCGCCGCCTCCTGGCCTGCCGCTGCACTTGGCTGCCGCCTGCGCCGCCCCCGCCGCGGCGGCCGGCTGCTCGGCCGGGGCCGCCGCCGCGGCCGCCGCCGCGGCCCCTGCTGACAGCGCGGCTGCGCGGCTCGCCGCCGCCGCCGCCGAGGCTGCCGCCCCCTGCTGGCAGCCTGGCTGCGCGGCCCGCCGCGGGCCGCCCTCTGCTGCGGCTAGTGCCGCCGGCGCTGCCGCCCCCGCCGCCGCCGCGGCCGCCGCCGCCGCGGCGCTGCCGCCACGGCCGCGGCGGCGGCCGCCGCGGCCGCCTCTGCGGCCGCCGGGCGCCGCTGGCGCCGTTGGCGGCCCCTGCGCCGGCGGCGCCGTCGGCTCCGCGGGCGCCGCCGCCGCCTGTGGCGCGCGGGCGCCGCCGACGCCGCTGGCGCCGCAGGCGCCGCTGGCGCCGGGCGCGGCGCTGGCGCCGCCGCCGCCGGCGAGGCCGCTGGCTCCGCGGGCGCCGCCGGCGCCGCGGGCGCCGCTGGGGCCTGCTCCGCGGGCCCGGCGGCCGGTGCCGCCGCCGCCGCCCCTGCGGCCGCCAGCGCCGCAGCGGCGGCCGCCGCCGCCGCCGCCGCGGCCGTGGCGGAGGCGGCCGCCGCCGGCCGCGGGCCACGCGGCCGGCGCCGCGGCCGCCGTGGCCCGCGCTGCCGCGTTTGGGCCCGCCGTAGCTGGCGCCGCCGCGGCCGCGCCGCTGCAGCACCAACAGGCCCCCAGCGGGCAGACGCACCAGCAGCGGCAGCAACAGCAGCCGAAGCAGCTGCAAGGGGACCAGGAACTCAGAATTTCGAGGCGGCTCCAGCCGTGGTGACCAGGGCGACTGATGACTATCTGGAGGATTCTTTCACTGGAAGTGCAGCCTTCAGCTGCCCCCTGGGTCGTTGCCGCGCAGCGCAGCCAGCATCTCAGGCAGATCCAGTCCCCAGCATGCCGATCAATCCCACTTCGGATTCGCCGATTAATCCCGTGTTTCCCGGCGCCAGTACGAGTAAGAATTCGGCCTTCAGCCGAGGAAGTAGCGGGGTCCCAAGCAAATGCTTGGCAGTGCAGAGCGAAGGGGCGACCTTCAGTCGCAACCCTGGTAATGCTGGCAGTCAAGACGGCGCGCTCCCCCCATGCGCGTTTGGCGCTCAGCCCCGGGCGATGGAGACTGCGGCGGCGCGGCGGCGCCGACAAGGGCGTGCTGCGAATCAGCGCCGCCTGGGCGCTGCTGCCGCGGCCGGCGGCCGCCCCCCTGGGCTCGCCAGCGCGGCCAACGCGGTTGGCGCTGCCAACGCGTCGGAGGCGTCCTCTCCGACGGGCGCGCCCGCCGCCGTTTGCGCCGCCAACGCCGCTGGCGCCGCTGGCGATGGCTGCCCCGCCGCGGCCTCCGCCGCCAGCGCCTGCCGGGGGGCCGACGTGGCTACGGCGGCCCGCGCGCGCGCGCCAACCAGGGCCGCGGACGCAGCCGACGCCCTCGGGCGAGTTGGCGCCGTCCGTGTCCGGCGGCCCGCGCTCCGCGCCGCCTTCGCCGCCGACGCTGCTGGCGCCCCAAGCGTCCGCGCAGTCGGCGCCAGTGCTGCGCCCGACGCAGCCGCCGCCGCCGCCGCCGCGTGCGCCTGCGCCGCTGCCGCCGCAAAGGCTGCACAGGGGCACAGGCCCCCCTCTGGGCGGCCGTCGCGGCCCTGGCCCAGGCTGCTGGGCGCGCGGCGGACGCCGTCGCGAGCGCGCTCCCTGGGCGCAGAACCGACCCGCTTGAAGACAATCGTAAATATGTGGTTGACGCTTGCTGCAAATCTGGAGGTGGCGTTTCGCCTGAAGACAGTCGCCAACCAGCGGCCGTTAGCTGCATAAGTCGCCAGGGAGAGTTGCAGACAGAGCACGCGGTGGTCAGCCGCAGCGGGTCGGTTCTTCCTTCTGTCAGAGACAGGCAGACAGGCGTTCCTACAGCTCCTCATTCCTATCAGCGCCCCAGGCACAGAGTCTTGGTGGAGGCCGAATATGCCCCCGACAGCGCGCCCATTCCTAGTAGCAGTGTCACGGTGACAGGTGGTGGCCCCCTGCAGCATAGAGAGTCAGGAGTTCGCACTGGAACGCGCGGCCATCAGCTGCAGTAGTCCCCCGGGAGTGCCACGGACCGAACAGGCGGTCGTCAGCCACAGCGCGCCGGCGCCTTCCCCTCCAGGAAATGACCAAGCAGGAGTTCCTACAGCCCCTCACTCCTATCGGCGCCCCGGGGGCGGTCTCGTTGTTGAGGCGGGAGATGCGGCCGAAATTCCGCCCCCCCCCTGGCAGCAGTATCGCGGCGACAGGCGGGGATGCCGCAGAGGGCGCGCCTGCGCTCGGAGACCGGCCTCCTCCCGAAGGGAGGTCCACGACGCCTCCTGGAGCGGATGATGGAGGGTATCTCGAGGTTCCTCGCAGCATAGAGAGTCAGGAGTTCACACTGGAACGCGCGGCCTTCAGCTGCAGTAGTCCCCTGGGAGAGCTACAGACCGAACAGGCGGTCATCGGCGACGGCGCGCCGGTGCCTTCCCGTCCAGGAGACAACCAAGCAGGCGTTCCTACAACCCCTC